ACGATAAAACCTCAAACAAAAAGAGATATAATCACATTAGGTGCATTATCTTTTATAATATAATAAATATTCGTGACAACACTCTGGTGATTATCCAATATAAAATATATTTTAAATTAATTAGTGTAAAAAGTGAACCAAGTGCATCAATTTAATTAAAAAATAAAAATATAAAATTAATTGGTGCAAAACACTGTGTACTGTGAATCACTCTTCCAGTGCTCCAAAAAACAAATCCACACTGTGCCACTTCTATTTATAGTAAGGAATATATACCCTTACCAACACTCCTCCAAAAACCCTGCTTTCAATGATATCCTATGGATATGATCCTCCTAAAGTGCTCCCCCAGATTCCACTGTATTCAGGGCACTTATTCCAGCAGGATCTTCTATACCTCCATATTGATGGCACCATATAGATAAAGAGGATATGAGGGGCAAATAGTGTAATAACGCCAAAGTAAAGTATGCATACCGGAACCGGAAGTCGACCGGCGGCCATTTTACAAAAGGGAAAAGAGGATAAAGACTGTGTGTTTGAATCCCTGGATGTTCCCTGGATGGTAGCTTGGCGGTTTCTACGGTATTTAAAGCGGTTTTAAACTTTTGGAAATGTGAGCAGTTTTTAATAAAGTTTCTCTGCACTTTACTTTGGCGTTATTACACTATTTTGCCCTCATATCCTCTTTATCTATATGGTGCCATCAATATGGAGGTATAGAAGATCCTGCTGGAATAAGTGCCCTGAATACAGTGGAATCTGGGGGAGCACTTTAGGAGGATCTATCCATAGGGATAATCATTGAAAGCAGGTTTTTGGAGGAGTGTTGGTAAGGGTATATATTCCTTACTATAAATAGAAGTGGCACAGTGTGGATTTGTTTTTTGGAGCACTGGAAGAGTGATTCACAGTACACAGTGTTTTGCACCAATTAATTTTATATTTTTATTTTTTAATTAAATTGATGCACTTGGTTCACTTTTTTACACTAATTAATTTAAAATATATTTTATATTGGATAATCACCAGAGTGTTGTCACGAATATTTATTATATTAAAAAGATAATGCACTATGTGATATTTTCTTTTGTTTGAGGTTTATCGTGAGAAAGGAAGGATTGAAAAGGATTTCTCAGTTTCAATTTTATATTTACATTTTTTGGAATTTGTTTGAACTTATATTAATTTTGTTTGGACAATTTTTTTGGGACTTTTTCTCACTTTTTTGAATTATTCCATATTTTTTTGAACAATTTTTAGAATTTTTTAAGCTCTTTTTGAATACTGATAGTTACTGTATGAGGTGAATTATTTATTCATTTATGTAATTTTGGCACATTTTTACACTGTTATTTAAATCTTCAAGGGTGAAGGTTTTATCTTTGTGCTATGGGGAATTAAGTTTTGTTGTATATTGGTTTTTCTAATTTGTCACTTATTACACTTAAGGAAGTGGTAGTTATAGAGATAGTCTTTGAGCATGTCGGTCTCTGCCAAAGTGCACGGCAGCGCCGACGTGTGGAGCTGTAACTACGGTCAGGGACAGTACATGTCATTTACGGCCCACTGGGTGAACGTGGTGCCCGCACAGCCGCACCAGCAACTTGGACAGGTCACGACGCTTTTGCCTCCACGTTTGCACGTCCTTGGTCCAGCAAACATGTCCGCCTCTACCACCTCTTCTTCCGCCGTGTCCTCAGCCGCCACCCCCTTGCCAAGTCCCATTACCCGACCGGCATATCACATGTGCAGGGCGCAACGGTGTCACGCTGTGCTGCACCTGGTATGCCTTGGCGAACGTAGTCACACAGGGGAGGAACTTCTGAGTGTAATGAACAGAGAAATCGACAGATGGGATGTCTCCCGCGCAAAACTGAAAATCGGAACCATGTTGACCGACAACGGAAAGAACATGGTGTCTGCTCTGCGTCAAGGAAGGTTGTGCCATGCGCCATGCATGGCTCACGTGTTCAATCTGGTTGTCAAGCGGTTCCTAAAATCCACCATCCCACTGCAAGACATCCTTAAAAATGTCACGTAAACTTTGCATGCATTTCAGCCATTCCTACACCGCAAACCACACCCTCCTTGAGCTGCAGCGGCAGAGAACGGAATTCCACAGCATCGCCTGATCTGCGACGTTGCAACAAGGTGGAATTCAACCCTACACATGTTAGACCGCCTTTACGAGCAGCGAAAGGCCATCACCGATTTCCTGATGTTACAAGCGGATAAAGGTACTCCCCTGTGTAACTTAGATGTCAGCCATTGGCAGCTCATGCGTGACACCTGCCGCTTGCTCAGGCCTTTGAGGAGGCCACGCTATTCGTGAGTCGGCAGGACTATGGGATGAACGACGTCATTCCTCTGTTGCACGTCCTGGAACAAATGCTGTTAACAATGGCTGGTCAGGGTGCGGTAGACGTGGCGCACAGATCTCAACGCCACATGACCCCTGTGGGGGCAGGACAGGAAGAAGAGGAGGAGGTAGAGGAGGACATTTGTGCTCAGGAATTATTGAGTGAAATGGGTGGTTTTTCCACTCAGCGGACAGGAGTGGAGGAGCAGGAGCATCTGGGAGAGGAGGAGGAGGAGGAGACAGAGGACCCAGACGCACCGTGGCAGTATGCTGTGGAGATGGAGGCAGGGAGTCCCTCGCATTCCTTGGCACAAATGGCCCATAGCATGCTCGGTTGCTTGCGTAGCGACAGCCGAATAATAACCATCAGACAGAGGGATGACTTTTGGCTGTCCACCTTGTTGGACCCTCGCTACCGTTCAAAAATGGTGGCCTTTTTCACACCTGCTGAGAGGGAGGCCAAAATAACGTACTATAAAAACCACCTATGTAGTCAGCTGGTCTCTGCCTTTCTGCGCCAACGTCCATCCTCAGACACTGTGGGCCCTGTGCGCTCGCGTTCCGCTGGCATGGCAGCAGGGGAGGGGTGGGGTGGTAGGAGCAGTGGCAGCTCCACCAGCAGCGGCTGCCTCAGTCTGCAGTCGATGATGAGTAGCTTTCTTCACCAGCGCAGTGAGGAAACTACTAACCAGCCGCAGCAGCAGCAGCAGCAGCATCAGGTGGACCTGGAGCAGGACCTCAAACAACAGGCTTAGGCCTACTTGGACAGCACCCTGCCAACCGAGGTAGACAATCCCCTTGACTACTGGGCAACGAAACTTGACCTTTGGCCCCAACTAGCTGAATTTGCCCTTGAAAGGCTGTCATGCCCGGCCAGTAGCGTGGCATCGGAGCACGTGTTTAGTGCGGCAGGAGGTATTGTAACTCCGCGGAGGACACGACTGTCCACCCAAAGTGTGGAGAGACTCACGTTTGTGAAAATGAATCAGGCGTGGATTAGTCTGGATTTCAAACCACCAGTTCCTGACACAACTGACTAAATCCGCCATGAATCATGCCCCAAACATGTGCCACTTTCAGGTCTCCTCACACTGCTGGTGTGTTCCATTTTGTCATAGGGTGCTGGCAGATTACAGGCCTCCCATAGGTGCTGCCAGGCCCCAAATCTGCCATGGGCCCCCGTACCGCCTGGTCACGCTGCTGCTGAGCCCACAGTGTGACCTGGGTCCCTGTACCGTCTCCCATTGCTCCCACTCTGCCATGTGCCACTTTGAGGTCTCCTCACACTCCTGCGGTTTTCCATTTTGTCATAGGTTGCTGGCAGATTACAGGCCTCCCATAGGTGCTGCCAGGCCCCAAATCTGCCATGGGCCCCCGTACCGCCTGGTCACGCTGCTGCTGAGCCCCACAGTGTGACCTGGGTCCCTGTAACCGCCTCCCATTGCTCCACTCTGCCATGTGCCACTTTGAGGTCTCCTCACACTCCTGCGGTTTTTCCATTTTGTCATAGGTTGCTGGCAGATTACAGGCCTCCCATAGGTGCTGCCAGTCCCCAAATCTGCCATGGGCCCCCGTACCGCCTGGTCACGCTGCTGCTGGGCCCACAGTGTGACCTGGATCCCTGTACCGCCTCCCATTGCTCCCACTCTGCCATGTGCCACTTTGAGGTCTCCTCTCACACTCCTGCGGTTTTCCATTTTGTCATAGGTTGCTGGCAGATTACAGGCCCTCCCATAGGTGCTGCCAGGCCCCAAATCTGCCATGGGCCCCCGTACCGCCTGGTCACGCTGCTGCTGGGCCCACAGTGTGACCTGGGTCCCTGTACCGCCTCCCATTGCTCCCACTCTGCCATGTGCCACTTTGAGGTCTCCTCACACTCCTGCGGTTTTCCATTTTGTCATAGTTTGCTGGCAGATTACAGGCCTCCCATAGGTGCTGCCAGGCCCCAAATCTGCCATGGGCCCCCCGTACCGCCTGGTCACGCTGCTGCTGAGCCCACAGTGTGACCTGGGTCCTGTACCGCCTCCCATTGCTCCCACTCTGCCATGTGCCACTTTGAGGTCTCCTCACACTCCTGCGGTTTTCCATTTTGTCATAGGTTGCTGGCAGATTACAGGCCTCCCATAGGTGCTGCCAGGCCCCAAATCTGCCATGGGCCCCCGTACCGCCTGGTCACGCTGCTGCTGAGCCCACAGTGTGACCTGGGTCCCCTGTACCGCCTCCCATTGTCCACTTTGAGGTCTCCACACTCCTGCACAGTGTCATAGGTTGCCATGTGCCACTTTGAGGTCTCCTCACACTCTGCGGTTTTCCCATTTTGCCACTTTGAGGTCCATAGGTTGCTGGCAGATTACAGGTCCACTAGTTTCCATAGGTGCTGCCAGGCCCCAAAATCTGCCATGGGCCCCCCGTACCGCCTGGTCACGCTGCTGCTGAGCCCACAGTGTGACCTGGGTCCCTGTACCGCCTCCCATTGCTCCCACTCTGCCATGTGCCACTTTGAGGTCTCCTCACACTCCTGCGGTTTTCCATTTTGTCATAGGTTGCTGGCAGATTACAGGCCTCCCATAGGTGCTGTTACATCAGGCCCCAAATCTGGGCCATGGGCCCCCCTGGTACCGCCTGGTCACCCAGCTGCTGCTGGGCCCACAGTGTGACCTGGGTCCCTGTACCGCCTCCCATTGCTCCCACTCTGCCATGTGCCACTTTGAGGTCTCCTCACACTCCTGCGGTTTTCCATTTTGTCATAGGTTGCTGGCAGATTACAGGCCCAGGCCCATAGGTGCTGCCAGGCCCCAAATCTGCCATGGGCCCCCGTACCGCCTGGTCCACCGTCCGCTGCTCCCACTCTGCCATGTGCCACTTTGAGGTCTCCTCACCACTCCTGCGCTGGGGCCCACAGTGTGAAATCGTGCCTGGGTCCCTGTACCGCCTACGCCTCCCATTGCTCCCACTCTGCCATGTGCCACTTTGAGGTCTCCTCACACTCCTGCGGTTTTCCATTTTTGTCATAGGTTGCTGGCAGATTACAGGCCTCCCATAGGTGCTGCCAGGCCCCAAATCTGCCATGGGCCCCCGTACCGCCTGGTCACGCTGCTGCTGGGCCCACAGTGTGACCTGGGTCCCTGTACCGCCTCCCATTGCTCCCACTCTGCCATGTGCCACTTTCAGGTCTCCTCACACTCCTGCTGGTTTCCATTTTGTCATAGGTTGCTGTATGGCCTCCCACCTCCACCGCCACACTGTGGCTCCAAACACTGGTTTTGGCCCCGTGACTGGCCAAATGAGTGAAGTGTGCGGTGATTCTAAGATCGACGGCACTCATCTGCATGTCATACTGACTGACAGTATTATTTCTCTTCCCCAGCAGACTCCAAGGGCATTTAAATTAAAGGTACAGTGTTCTGCACTAATATTAAGTCTCTCTGAAGCCTAGAAACACCCTTTTTTAAGTTAAATTCACAGCGAATATATTCGACTCGAATCGAATATTTTCCACGAATTCGCCGAATCTGTCGAATCGAATTTTTGAATACTTCGCTCATCTCTAATGATGAGGTAAACTTTTTTTTTTGCTGTGTCAATGGAGCTTAATAGCTTTGTTTTCCTTGTATTGTTGTATATAACAAATATATCATTTGGAAGCAAATAATCACTATTTTCTTACTTCTATTTGAACAATAGCTGGGGTCACAGGAATCATGCCAGCAGAGATGTTTGATCAAATGGCACGGCCAGCTGCATACATGATCTGCGGTTCCCTCATCTGGATGATGCTGTTTATTGTTGGACTAGCATTTCCCTTCATTGTGGTGAGCAATATTTATTCTTTTTTTTTCTTTTCTTTTTTTACAGTTTGCTTTCTGCTTTTGCAGTTTACAGTATAAAATGACAACACAGTATCAAGACATTTTGTTTAATAATTTTACTTAATAGAGTATGTCAGAGGCCAGATGTTTACAATGTTGATGATGGGAGTCTTTGGTGCACAGAGTGTTCCCTGCCATTTTATGAAATATGAACATCATGATTTATATTACTGATAGGACTAAGGTTGATTTTCAAAAATATAAACTTCACATTTTCTAGAGTGGCAGGGATCATTATGGTAACCACTATACATTTGTGAGCTTACATTTTGGCATTACCATGATATTATGTTACATGGTATAGTGCTAGCTGAGCACTGGGTCCAGCAGGTTCACATTTTACTATTTGTATTGTTTGTACTGAACAGGACTAGTCATCTTTTCTCAAATCCCCATGTGAATAGCAATGAAAAACATTTTTCTTTTGTCTTTGACTTTCTTTGAGCATACTTATGACAGTTCATCTTATGGTTGCATATCTCTACCACTGTTTCTGTATTGTCTGGTCATACTTCTTTATATTTAGCTAGGTTATCTTTTGTATCTTCTCTGCAGAGATCCTTAAGTCAGCCATACATGGATCAAAATTCAGCTGATTCGGTAGAGAATACCCACATTTTGATCCATGTATGGGTAGGCTGATTAATCCATGGATTGACTTAGGCTGATTCAGCAGTAGCAGTAACCGTTGTATTATGCTGGCCAGGAAGGCTCCTCACGCCCCCCCCCCCCAATCCCCCCCCCCCCCCCCCCCCCCCCCCCCCCCCCCCCCCCCCCCCCCCCCGCTAGCAGAACACAATAGCACTGCGGGAGGGATTCCCCCATCAACATAGACTATGTTGATGGGGAAATCAAGCATTTTTCTTTCCTTCCACACCTAGTGAAAGGAAAGAAAATCAGATCACCTATGGGCTGCCTTAGTCTTCCTCTCACTCTTCTACTATGCATCTTTGTATATTTTCTAGCTAGTTTCCCTCTTATACCTTATTTGTATCCATGTAGTACTCATGCACTAATCCTTGTAGTTTCTTGGTACACATCACACTCCCTCCCTCACACATCGCGCTCAGTACATTTGGCACTTTACTGCTGACTGATTGCTACCTTTCCATTTCAGCAAGGCCTCGGTCACTTCTGTTATATCCCGTTTATGGTTGTTTGTGTCAGCACAGCTTTGTACGTTGGATTCTTCCTCCCAGAGACCAAAGGAAAAAGTCTTCTAGAAATCACAGAGGAGTTTACAAAGCACAGGTCAAAATTACATGAAGGGCAAAATGGCTGGATTGCACCTACAGAGATCAAAACCACCATGTTATGATGAAGATAAAGTGTTTCCCACGGTAGCATCAAAGGCTAATGTAATTTTTAAATTACAGAGTAGTTATGTGGAATATTTACCTATGTTTGTTCTGCAGATATATTAAGCTTGAACTTTGACTACATTTAAACTGAAACTTGAACTTGAATTTAAGTGGAAGGTGAAAGTCCTCTGCTGGCTTAAGTCTTCCTGCGCTGGGTTTTTTTTTTTTTTTTGGAACCTGACTTGTGACAGTATAACAGGACATCACTCGGGTCTATACTCCATCTTCAAATTCCTAATGTTTCTGCTTGTTGTCTCTCTATCAAAACCAGAACAAATTAAAATGTGAACATATAGTATACTTGCACTTCCTTCCTTACAGTTATGATGTATCATATTTCCAAAATCATAGAGTAAGAGATAAGCAAAGTATGTTTCCTTACCACTTTATAATGAATAAAAGATTTCCCTTCGATTTTCTCAGTTTTTTTCCTGGAAAATATACTGCCTGTGCAGCATGTACCATTGCAAAGAAAACAAAATAAGCAAGGAGTTCACCCATGGCACATAGAGATAGTTGTTGCATTTAAATGCCTTTGCAGTGGCACCAAACCCACAAAAATGTTTTGCTAGTAAAATCCTTGGATTTGGTCCATAGTTGCTGATAACATCTCATGAAGAAGTGGTAATGAATAGTAAGGTGTAGCATGTAACAGAAGCATAAAGACAATTTCATTTACAGATCATTATTCGGTAGAAGCAAAGTGCAGTAACCCTTCAAATAGCAGGATGTGATGAGATGTTCCTTTACTTCCTGTTTTGCCTGATATGGGCTTTTGAACAGCCATTTCTATTTTCACTAATGCTATAGACTGCCATTATCTATCCAAAACAATTTTGTTAGATTTGGCTATCCCAATGCATAGATGATTCTACTGCAGATAAATAAACTGGACATACTAATGTGCAGGGGTAGGGGCAGAACAAAGCCCTCAGTATGTGACACCAGGCATGTCTAGGGTTTTAAGGAATTTGCAATTCATAAGACAGTCAGATACAGTGTTATATTGTAAAAAAAAGCCTCTCCCCCCCATCCTTTCCATCCCCTGCATCTAATTTACAGGTCTCATTTAAATTCAGAGAGGGGCCTTGCACTGCTGACATTTGCATGATAGAAGCTGCTATGTTTACTCCACCTTTAGAAGTGAACCTCTTAATATGTAAAAAGATCATAGCATCTTTTACATTTCTTTTAGCAGATTTTTTTTTTCTAGTTAAGTAAAGTGTTAAGCACCTAAAAGGCGGGGCAGTGTATACCTAGTATATAATGTTAGGTGAAAGCTGAGCAGCCAGATATTTTTTTCTTAAGAGAGTTTTGACAGGAAAAGAAGACATCTGAGGATTTTAACATATTTCACAATATTGGAACATTGGTAAATATCATTATTTTATTCTCTCAGCTATTTTTATTGTTCTTCTTATTTTAATGTGTGTTATAAAATGCTGTACTTGAGATATTTAAATCTTGCGATTATTTGAATTGTTTCTTAAGTAATTGTTTAGTTAGTCAAGACCAATTTTACATGTCAATGACCTATATATTGCATCACAATAGGGGTTAGTGACTCTTAATAACCCAAGAAAGTTGAATATGAAAAACTGAGAAAAAAGAAAATTAAATGTTTGTATAAAAGTAATTTCTTATTCGGGTTATACTTCCTGTCCCTGTGAAAGAAGTGAGGGAAAATCTGACAAAACCTATTACCTGGCCCTGTGTTAAGTCACTTACAAAGTGTACCTATTTTGCTGATAAACAAGAATTTTGGACACCTGGCCCTCCATCCTGGAAGCAGTCTGTTCATATCTTCTCATCCTACTGCAGACAAGAGATGGATTATCCCAATACAAACACATTTCCTTCAGATTCAAAAACCTACATTATATCAGAAAATAGATACCCCTTACAATTGACTTTTTCGAGCCAGGACCAGTAAAAATAAAGGATAGTGCAAAAAGGAAAAAATACCAAATTACCAAAAGGAAAAAATAAAGGATAGTGCACCTTTTCTATAAAGTCATTTGTAAATGACTTCATATTTCTACACATTCGCTCTCCCATATTTTTATGTTAAAATTGGAGTATAGCCCAATTTGTTTTATTTTTATTTTATCTTTCTACCAATTTCTCTTCATTTTCTGTCCTAAGGGCGCAAGAGAACGCAAGTGGAAATTTCCCAAAGTGAGGGGAATTCCCATATTTGCTCTCCCATATTTTTATGTTAAAATTGGAGTATAGCCCAATTTGTTTTATTTTTATTTTATCTTTCTACCAATTTCTCTTCATTTTCTGTCCTAAGGGCGCAAGAGAACGCAAGTGGAAATTTCCCAAAGTGAGGGGAATTCCCATATTACCTGCCCCTCGCACAGGTGTCCCCATTTGAAGATAACCTCTCACCTCTTGCTCTGGGTACAAGCTCTAAAATTTGGGATTTTTTTTTATGTGACAGTGATCACCAGTACAAATAAAGGGGGAGTCTCCACAAGGGAGACTCAATGAGAAAATATGACAGAAGGTCTAATCCTTCCCTGCTTTGTCTAAAATTAAGAAAAAGGTTTTGCCTAGAGATACACTTTAAATATAGACATTTATAGATTAACCACTAAAGGAATGTTATTATTATACAGGACTTATATAGCGCCAACAGTTTGCGCAGCGCTTTACAATATAAGGGAGACAGTACAATTACAATACATTTCAGTACAGAAGGAATAGGAGGGCCCTGCTCATGGAGCTTACAATCTAAAGGAAGGGGGAGGTGAAACAAAAGGTGATGATTGAGTTTTCAAAGATCGCCTAAAGGCAGACAGGGTGGGGGCTGACCGAACATGCTGTGGTAGGGAGTTCCAGAGGATGGGAGAGGCTCTGGTGAAGTCCTGGAGGAGGTGATGAGGGAGCTAGAGAGGAGGATATCATGGGAGGAGCGAAGTGGGCAATTTGGGCGGTATCTGTGGATGAGGTTGGTGATGTAGCTAGGGGCAGTGTTGTGGATGGCTTTGTAAGCTGTGGTTAGTATTTTGAATTTTATACGTTGGGTTAGTAGAAGCCAGTGGAGGGATTGGCA